ACTACACCCACACATCCCCAGTGCTTTAGCTCTCTGGCTACAGTTCACTGATTCTGACTGTCTACGCAGCCCTAAAATATCCCTGCCGATCCCATGTGGGTGGCTGATGTTTACACGAGAGTCACGCTCGTAAAGGCGTTCTCGGGTTCCATGCTCATGTGAGCGTTTTCGAGAATCATGCTTATGTGGGTGGCTGATGTTGCAGGAGAATCACGCTGTCACGTAATTCAGACTTTCTCTGTGTGTCTCATTAGCCATGCTTGTCAGTCCCTACACAGTGAACCCACTTTCTCTTGACACTACACTTCTCACTGGTCAACATTCTCTCCCCTTTACTACTCGGGCCAATGTTGACACTATTCCCCTTGAACTCCCAGAAAGTACTAACATACCACTCTGTCCCTTCACGCAATATTACATTCTTCCCAATCAGCACGCAAAATTATCTCCTGCCCATCCCCAACTGACAACTAACTGAAATAAGTGACGTTGTCAGTTGTTGAGTTAGAAGACTTGTTGTTGGTTGATTGTATAATCATACTACTCACTGGACATGTGATATCATAACTAGTTTCATGTAGTTAACTATCATTGCATATATCAGTGCCTACACACACACACATACACACATACACACACACATATATATATATATATATATATATATACATAGAGAGAGAGAGAGAGAGAGAGAGAGAGAGAGAGAGAGAGAGAGAGAATTATCTCTAACTTTAACAACTATGTCGTGTTGACAACTCGTAAAGCGGCATCCATACAAGTGTTGGACAAACTTAACTACAGCATAATGCGTCTGGAGTATCTTTAGGAAGAAGAATAGAAATACGTCAATTTTTTGTTAGGCCTATAGAAATGTTTGCCATCTATATTAATAAAAAATCTGAAATTTCCGGTGATGTAAGCTAAAAACTCGGAAACTACTGAACCGATTGCTTTCAAATTTGCACACAACGTTGCCTTTGACTCCAGGTGTGATTTTTTGTCAGAAAATTGCACAAACCACGAACGACGTAGCCCCAGCAACGGTCAAATTTTATCTGTTTCGATGCCAGCCCGGATTACTTTTTAGTTGTATGGCTATTTTTGGCTGCCGAGCAGTTATTGAACTTTGCTTTATCATATAATCTCATTTCCACTGTCTGTTCGAGTGTTTGGTAGCGTAGTTGGTAACTATTCTGCTTATCGTGCTGGTGACCCGCGTTTGATTCCCCGCTAGGTAATATAAAAACTTTTTTAGCCCCTAACTGGGCGGCTGGCACGTTGTGTTGTGGTTTATGGCTAGGCTGCGATATTTACGTCTTTTTCGGTTTTTGGGTTTACAGCTAGCATGCGACAGCGGCGACGTGATGCTCAATCGTCATGTCAGGGGTATTCTTCGTTCGCCCTCGAGAGGGCCGTTGGCACGTTGTGTTGTGGTTTACAGCTAGGCTGCGATATCTGACCTAAACTCTTCAGTCTTCGGTAGTATAGTTTTAAGTATTCCATCCTTCACGCGGGTGACCGGTGTTTGATTCCCGGCTGGGTGATAATTGTTCTTTTTCCCTTAAAAGGGTGGTTGTCACGATGTGTTGTGGGTTACAGCTAGGCTGCGATATCTGCGCCTTTCGCCCAAAGACATCCGATTTCAGTTAAGTCACAATTAGCCTCCCCGCGACGCTTCTCGATCAATAACTATTCGGCGATGACAGAAACTTACCCAAGACGGCTTACAGTCCGGTTTAGTTTGGGTGGACACGGATGCCAAGGTCAGTTAAAAATCGCTCCCTAGGAGAGGGAGAGATGACGTGTGCGGGGTATTTTTCGCTGCTGTTCGTGAGTATAGTGTACTTTTTACTGTGGGTTCCATCATTTGTTACGTGATGAAGTTTTTTAATTTCTATGTCGGGGGCAACATTGCACTAAATAGTCCGTGGCGACAGCATGCGGTGCTAACTCCTCTTTTCTACACCCACCTACACAGACTGTCGTGACAGGTTTTGTTGTTGTTGTTGTTGATATTGTTGTTGCTGTTGTTGGTGTGATGGTGGTGGTGGTAGTGGTTGCAGTAGTACTGGTACTAGATGGGTGATGTGGTAGCTGTTACACAGGCTACATTTACTTCTCTGTACAAGTTAATGCTACCTATTTAAGTCTGGGTGGACACGGATGCCAAACTCAATTTAGTTACAATATTTCGTCACACAGTGACTTTCCCATCCTTCAGAGAGGATGATATGATTATGGGAAAAAAAAAAGGGGGGGGGGGGGGGGGGTTATGTCAGACACGGTTAGCTGAGAGAGCTTAAAATGTATCGAAGAAACTATTCGCATTTCAGTTGAATTTATTCAGTTTTGTGCTTTATTTTATGTTGATGTAACTCTGCAGTAACGCACCTGATGAGATACAGCGAAATATGCCTGGCAATAAATTGTGCAATGTATTATGTGCATCCGCATTATTTAAATTCATTACGGAAAAAACATGGTTTCGAAGAGCTTAAAATATTATTTTTACGTTCTTATTTCTATTTTAATAATTTCGCCAGGTGATGATTTTTAAATCCTTCGGAGAGGGAAATATGATTGGGGGGGGGGGGGGGGGGGGGTATGCCACACACAGTTAGCTAAGAGAGATTAAAATATCATTTTAAAGTTCTCATTTCTTAACCATTTCTATTTTAATAATTTCGCCATAGATGATTTTTCAGTCCCTCGGAGAGGGAGATATGATTGGGAAAGGGGGGGGGGGGGGGGGGAGAAAGTTGTTATGCCAGACCCAGTTAGCTGAGAGAGCTTAGAATATTATTTTAATGTTCTCTTTTCTTAACTATTTTAATTTTAATAATATCTCTAGGTGATGATTTTTCAATCATGCGAGAGGGAGATATGATTGGTGGAAAAAGGGGGGGGGGGGGTGTTTATGCCAAACGCATTTAGCTGAGAGAGCTTAATATATTATTTTAAATTTCTAATTTCTTAACTATTTCTTTTTTAATAATTTCTCCATGGATGATTTTTGAGTCCTTCGGAGATGGCGATATGACTTCGCAAGGGATGATTTTTCAATCTTTCGGAGAGGGACATATGACTGGGACGGGCGGGGGGTTATGCCAGACACAGTTAGCTGAGAGAGCTTAAAATATTATTCTAATGTTCTCTTTTCTTAACTATTTCAATTTAATAATATCGCCAGGTGATGATTTTTCAATCCTACGGAGAGGGAGATATGATTGGTGGAAAGGGGTGGCGGAAAAGGGGGGTGGGGTGCCAAACACAGTTAGCTGAGAGAGCTAAAAAAAATTTTTTTAGTTCTTATTTCTTAACTATGTCTATTTGATTAATTTCGCCATTGATGATTTTTCAATCCTTCGGAAGGGGAGATATAACTGCGTCGAGGGGAAGGGGGGAGGGCAGACACTGTTAGCTGAGAGGTATTTTATTTCCTTTCCATTTCACCGTTCTGGGACACAGCTAGTCTTTCATATGACAAAGTAGCCTTAGTATCGGGGGGTGCTGGTGTTTATAGGTGATAGCTAATTTGTAATATCTCTTCCCTCTCAGTTTTCACGGGCTTGGGACCGTCACGTTTAAACACATTTAAAACGTGGCCTGATTAAAAAGATGTGAACTCAGTTCTGGCTCATATGGCTTTGCAATGTTTGGTTAGATTAGTAATAACATGCAAGTAACTGGTTAGCAAACATGCAGTAACAGAATTAATAATTAGTAAGCATGCTACATTAGTTTTTATATACACGGAAGTTATGTTAATTTTAAATTACATTTGATTTTAGCAGGTCTGGATTTGTTGAAACGATTTCGTCCTTTTTTCGATAAAATTCTATCCACATTCCAAATGGGGCAGATATTGCTAATTCAACATTGTAAAGGGGAAGGGTGGAGAATAGACTCACTAACCGCAAACAAGAATTCGTAGCAGTTGACTAAATTGGATTGTTTCGAGGTAGGTGCGCATCTGCATGGCTCTGTAAAACGGAAGTACAGACAAATCTCAGTTTCTGGAATAATACTAAAATGCCCAGAAGTGGACGAACAATAAAAACATTAGGCGGGAGTGTAAATTGTAAACGCGAAGAAGTCCAAATTCAAATGTTTATGAATATGTGTGCCATCGCTTGATGTCTTTTGGTTCTAAACAAATTGTGGAAAAAACATTAGAAGAAAATGGAAGAATTTTGAAATGTGACTGACTGCTTCGAATACACAACAATACTCTGGTTTTCCATAACGAGAAAAACAGCTATTATCTTAACATTACATAAAGTCTCTAGGCAACTCAACTAAACAGAATAATGACTTTGTATTACCGAAGGAAGCGTCAATCATTAGATGTAAGAAAGTACTTATTTACTAAAAATATAAATCTGGCAAAGGTTTTCTGTCGTATTTTTATAAAGCTAACATTTGAGATACTTTTGTGGTAAAGATATGATAATAATATATTCTTTTTCGCGTTCACCGGCTTTAAACTTTGGTAGAACGTTTAAGTAGTTCGTCCACTTCTGGATTTTAGTCTTGTTCCGAAACCTGAGTGTTGCATGCACATTCGTTTCACAGATCTGGCTTATCTGTATGCAGACCGTTTAAAAAATCCAATATGGTAAGAACTTTCTAAATTTTAAACTAAAAGAGGACTGTACTAACATTACTAACTACTGATATGAAAAAGGTCTTTCCTGTTTTCCCCTTGGAAATATTTAATTTATAATGAACTACAATATTTGAATATACACAGCATTGCTTTAACATGATGAAAAGTATTTTTATTGATTAAAAATTGCCCTAATTGTAATGTCTGTTACTGTCACTTTGACTAATCAGCATGATTAACTAACGTTCAACATATTTAACACAAACATGAACACCCGTGAAAACTAAATGAGAGTTAGTAACAACGGAAACTTCTAGAAAATAATGGTTAATTGTTTTAGCAAACAACAAAAAGAAAAACGAAATGTTAAAATTGACAATAAAATGCATACTTACAGTTTGTCAATGAGGTCCCTGTGGATATCGCAGCCGTGCATGTTGATCAGCATTGATGCCGCTGTACTTCTTATGTCTGGGTCATCTTCTACGGTACTAATCAAGCACCAACCGTGGGGGTCAGGAGCAGTAAACAGCAAATTGGAGTCGTCGAGACACTCGTAGACTCTGTCTGATAGTGGCTCAGACTGGTACATCATGCACCAGAGAACCACGCCTAGAGAGTACATGTCTAGCTTGTGAGGATCAACATATGAGCAGCGCTCTATTTCTGGAGCAGAGAAACACATGGTGCCACCAATATTTTTCGTTGAGATCTTGGTGTGGCCTGGGGGAATGGAAAATGATAATCCAAAATCTCCAAGAACTGGGTCGCTGTTGGCGTTGATGAAAATATTGTCCGGCTTGATATCGCTGTGTACTATTCTCTGTTTAACATTGAGATAACGCACAACACACGTCATCTGGATGAAGTACTTGAGACACAACTCCGGGGTCATGGTGTCCAGCTTGGAGGTCAGCGTTCCATTAGGGTAGTAGTGAGTACAAATGGCCAAGTACTCAGGACAACGGACAGAAATAGTATGTTGTACGATGTGTGGATGAGACAGTCCTTGTAAAATGTTGACCTCTCTATTAAATAACCTCGTGTTTTCGATGCCTCCATCAGTAGTCAGCAATGACAATATCTTCACTGCTCTCTTATGTTTAGGGGATAGAAGTGAGGTGGCTAGCACAACTTCGCCACTCATTCCACTGCCCAGTACTGGACCACGATAGAATTGATATGTGGTAAAGAAATCACCAGGTAGACTTACCAGGTAAGGTTTCATTGCCGATAATTCCATTTCTGAACAGCACAGTAAACTATAAGTGAAAAAATGTTATCCGACTAAGAATATGCACAAATCAGAATATAAGCACGATATTCCCAAAAGCAATCTGAAAAATGTTATGATCAAATGGGAACCTAGGTTGTGGCTTATATACTAGTAGTCAGCTGACAGCCTGGTTTTGTCGGTGTGTTTGATAAGGCTTCGTTTGATAACATTCAATGGGTGATAATTGAACGATGGATTTAGCGATCGTAATCGTAATGCGTGTTTCTTGTTATTGTAGCCGCTCCCGCCTGAATAGTCATTGATGTCACAGCCGTCGCTTTTGAATGACCGTCAAGGAAATGGACCGGTAATCTGACCAGGTGGCTTATGTTGGCGGTAACCGTGACAAAGTTTGATTGCGTAACTTTGTGGTTTTTTCACACGGGGCCGATATGTAAGGTATTAGCCTTAAGTGACATTGAAGTTCAGGTGAGGTGACCGCAGATAAATGTTTGGAGACTTGTTACCAAAGAAATTATTTGTTAGGCCAGACGCTTTTATGACAATGTTTCTGATAGTTGGGAAAACTTTGTTGATCCAACATGAGACCTTTACAGTCTACTGAACAGCAGTATATGCAATTGTGTTTTGCCAGTTAATAATTTCCCTAATTATTCTTTTATTAGAATAGATATCGCTTCTGTTCATTTTACAATAGAAGAAATCTTCATAATTTAACGTTGTCAATATTTCATTGTCACATGCTGTGCCGATGAGAGTTGGCGGTCATGGATTGTCATTCCAAATGATCATTATAAACAAAAATAAGGAAAGTGCTTTTGTTTCACTAAATTCGCGTGGCAAAGTCAAGTATTTATCTTCTTGTCTTCTCTTGGCTCTTTCCCCACCAACGTTAATGAAAGGTAAAGGACCCTTTCACCAACTTCAGGTGCATTGGGCTAACGGACTAGAACTGTGTTTTAGAGGCCAATCATCACATGCTGGGTGATGTGGTCAGCAGCACACCACCCGCCTTTACTTCCTAGGACTTACCTGGCCCCTACCCAAAGCTGTGTCGATCTTTGATCCAAAGTAATTTAAAATAAAGGATAACTTTGTCAGATCCCGAACACACGACCTTATGATCAGATAGTTTGTTTCAGGCTCTGAATGTACTTAGTTCGTTTCACGACTACTTCGTTCCGTTCACGAGTGCATATTCTACAGAGATTACTGGGGATCATCGATGGAGCTATATATTTCTACTTTGTGCGATGCTCTCGACAGGCCACCTACCTCTTTCTGTAGAGAGGCCGAACCATATGACATAGAATCTGATGCATTGAAGTCGATTCTGTCGACAAGACGAGAACAAGAACATTTAGAGTAACGGGTTCTATGTGCTCGTGATGGGGTTTAAAATAGATTTCATGAACACTGGCCTTACAAGCTGAAATTTCCAAATGCCGCCTAGGTTCAGCTGCAACAGTCACCAAGCGAGGCCATCATTGTTCGTCCCTATGTCTCTGTTGGTTTATGGATGTAAAGCCCTAAGTTATATTGTTCGCAGGGTGTTTCAGCATGTGTCCTATGCACCAGCATCATTTCTTCACCCCTTCGATCGCTGGAATGTCATAGCTCTTTCCTAACGATCAATGTTAGTGATTTAATCATGTAATTTAATTCCATCTATTATACGCAGGCACCAATTATTAAATATTTGTAATTTATTAGTAATTGTTTTAATTGTTCTCCATGTTTCTGCACCATATAGCAGGCAGTGCTGCTCTGAAAGAATGAGGAACTTGAGTATTAGTTTTACTTTCCTTTAACTCCCAGAAATGTCCATGTGCAATGTAAAGTCTTCTGTCCTTTTCTGTTCGTTTTTTACACACATGCCGTGATTGTAACTGACTCACAGAGCATGTTGAGAAGGGTGAAAACAGGCATGCTACGTGCAAAGTGAAAGCATCACTTCAGAGGTCCTGGATAGTTAGCATCCTGTTGATATTCTCTCAAGGTTAAGCCGGTGAGTTGGGAAATAAGCAGGTAGACAGACTGGCTGGCTCTGCATCACTTGGTGGTGAATTGATGTATGACAAGAAGATATCTTAAGGGCCCTTTGTGAGCGAGTGAACAGTGCGGGGGCGCAGAAAGATCATTACGGTCTAAGGAGAATGGCGCTGCGAGGAATTTTCAGGGGATGTGGGGAATGATAAGATGAATATACAATCTGACGGTTACTGGTACCATCGGAATTGGAACTTTTCGCTTACTGCTGAAGATGGGGACTGAGCATTTATAGAAATGTATCGAGTGTATAATGTCGATTCCTAATTCAACATCCTCCTCCTCCTCCTTCTTCTTCTTCTTCTTTTTCTTCTTTTTCTTCTTCAATTTCTTTTCTTCTTCTTCTTCTTCTTCTTCTTCTTCTTCTTCTTCTTCTTCTTCTTCTTATTATTATTATTATTATTATTATTATTATTATTATTATTATTATTATTATTATTATTATTATTATTATTTCTTTTCTTCTTCCTCTTCTTCTTCGTCTTACATTACTGTTATTATTATTATTATTCACTTCCTCCAGTTACTTCATCAAAGTGTTGGGGGACATAAAGATCTTCTGCACGATCTTTCCAATGTGTTAAGTCAGTGGCTCTCAACCTTCCTAATGCCGCCACCCTTTAATACAGTTCCCTCATGTTGTGGCGAGCCCCAAACACTTATTTTTCTTCATAGTTTCAATAATATGTGTTTTCCGATGGTCTTAAGCGACCCTTGTGAAAGGGACGTTCAACCCCAAAAAAGGGTCACGACTGGCAGGTTGAGAACCGCTGTGTCAAGTGCTCTTTATTTCATTAAGGCTGTTCTCGCTTCTGTCGTTCCAACTTCTGTGTGGTATTCCAATTCCCCTGTTGCTGTTATGTTTCTTCACTTTACTGTCGGTTGCAGCTGGTACCGGGCCCTTCTCATCAAACAATAAGACCATCTCATCTGCAGCTCTCTAATAAACTGTATGACTGGTTTCAGTCCTAGCCTTTTTCTAATGTTTTAATGTTTAAAATATCACTTGTTGCTATTGCAGCAGCTCTTCTGAGACATCTTATCTCTGTTGGTAAAATTGTGCTCTCATTATCTTTATTAAAGGTCCATATTTGACATTGGTAGCATAAAGTGAGATAAAATAGTTCTCAGCAGATTTGTCATGGTAGTTTGAGACACACTTTGTATATGTGTCAAAAGGGATGTTAGTTGTCCCAAAACTTGGTTTGCTTTAGCAAATCGAAATAACATTTCCGAAATATCATTTTTCTTCTGTATCAGTATCACTACATATTTCTGTCAATGTACATTGTAACGAATAGGGAAGATATCATGTATACATTCCTGTTGTACTCTTGGCTTTACTTAAACAGGTTTGGGTTCACCTGATTTTGTTCGTACATAACTTTTATCTCATGTGAATAAACTGTTACAGCTTCGTAAGGATGTTCACTAATTCTATATGGGGGGGGGGGGGGGCAACCCCACAGTATTTCCTTATGTACTCTACAAAAAGCTGTTTCCTGATCTATAAATTAAACTTTGAAGATCTCAACATATACTGCTGCTATTTCGTAGAAGAAATCAGAGTACACACGCGGGAAAAGCCCTGTGATTCCAGCCACGTGGTTGCGGTGTTAAAAAGTGCGCACTTGTTCATCAAATAATGTCCAACTTCCGCCCAGTGCAAACATAAGACACCATGGGTCGGGTTAGGGGTCTATCAAGGAAAGTATGGTATGAAATCAGAATTGGGTTTTAGAGAATACTTTTTATTAAGTTGCGGAATTAACAGTAAGAGGCGGCGTGTTTATTCGATTTTCTGCACTAGGTGAGAATGTTTGGTTGAAATGCTTGCATTAGCAAGTAAAGTAAACAGTACTGTGTTTTCTTTTTTTTACTCTCCTGTCAAATGCAGTAGTACTTGCTAGTGTTTATTTTAGTTTAATGATTAATGAATCACCTTTAAGATGTCACTGTAACTCCTTAAGTTGGGTGTATTGTCCATCACTATATTTCAGCTATACATACGCAGTACTGTCCAGTATATGCAACATCATTACCCTTTAGTCTATTTGAGCAATACATAAGCCGATCTGTCCAGTCCATACAACATCATTACCCTTTAGTCTATTTCAGCGATACATAAGCCGGTCTGTCCAGTCCATACAACATCATTACCCTTTAGTCTATTTCAGCAATACATAAGCCGATCTGTCCAGTCCATACAACATCATTACCCTTTAGTCTATTTTCAAAGTCCTGTCAAATCCATGCAACATCCTTACACGCCTTGGATTGCAGGTTGCGCCGGGCTGGTGTGGCTGTTACGGGAACCTTAATTAAAGTCTCCTTAGAAGTTGAACAGGGTATCTGGGCTTGTCCTGTTAGTCTACAAGCACTGAGACTGTTCAGTCCTCCGGTGTCAAACATTCAGGCCCTCTTGGTTCGCCCTCCAGACTTTGATCTTCTGACCTCAGAGTGTCACACTTTTCAGCTAGTGACCCAGAGCGGATAGACAACAGGCGGGCAAACAGGCAAGCAAATCGTGCAAGAGTTTGCCGCACCGAAAAATATATTTTTTAAAATTAAAGAACGCCGATGTTAATATGGGTGGATAGCGACAAGAGACCAGGCTACAGAGTAAAAGTAATATATAGAAAGGTGCTGGAAGTTGGCACAGATATTGTAAATCAACATACATTAGACTTTTGTCATGTGGTATTATCTTTAGCAGTAGAAGTCAACAGAAACAGATATGGGATAGACTATTAGGATTACGTGCGCCAAGAGAACAAAAGTTACTTCTTCCCTTTAACGTCTGCTGGTTAAGAAATCATTGTGTATAGAGCTGTGCCTCCCCCCCCCCCCCGGCCCATTTTCCATGTTATGGATTTAAGCGTGAGATTAGAGGGAGAGATAAGTGGACACAACCTTTGTCTAGACCAGTGATCTCTAACCTGAAAAGGGGGGAAAGGGGGGCAGGGGGATAAGGACGTTTCAAGGAAGGTGTCCATCAATTTTTAAAACTTAATACATTTGTTCTTGTAATAATCCCCATTTTCAGCTCAAGCAGTCGTGAAAACAAAACCACGTTACCAGCTTGATGTGGAGTGAGATTTCCGTTGTGCCTTGTCCAGTATCAGACACACAAAAACATATATCCCTGCCGGCCATCACATTTATATTTAGTCACAAAGTTATAAATTTTTGGTGATTGTTTCTTTTGTTATTTGACACTTTCTTTTATGTTGATCTTTTTCTCCAAGTTCTTATTAACAGTGCTTTGGATTTTTCTGTTGGTCCTCATCTTTCTAATCACATTTTGTTATGTTGGAGGGCGGATGGGACGGGAGTCTGGTCATATATTTACTTAGGAAGGGGGCGCCATGTGGAAAAAGGTTTAAGTCCACGGGTCTAAACTGAGTATTAAAAGGTTTGGTGTCATACGCTTTCTCGTTAATCTGTCGCTTGTTGGTTATTCGTCCACTTCTAGACTTTGGTCGTGTTCCACAACTTGAGTTTTGCACGAACACCCGCTTTGCAAATCTGACTTAATGTATAAAGACTGTTTATTTCTTATTTTTCAGACAGAATCACTTTCATTTAGAAGAGCACATCCTTAATCAATCACCTCGCGCGACATACTTTTTGGGAGTGGTGGGTCTATCTACCTCCACCCCCGCCCCCACCCCCACCGAATCCATACAAGACGGTGTTATACAATTCGTTTGGCTATCATACATTATAACAATGACATCTTCTTCTTCTTCAGCATTCCGAGCCTTTGAAGTTCATTGCTGCAGATATCACCCGTCTCTATTCATCTCTCAGGTTGGCCTTCTCTTTCCAGTTGGTGACATCAAGTGTTTGCAGGTCTGTCTGGATATTATCTCTCCAACGTCTCCTTGGTCTGCCTCGTGGTCAACGACTATTCATATCCCTCGTATATACAGTTTTTACTTCTCTGTCATCTCACACTCTTTCAGTATGCTGCGAACCATTTCAGTCTATTATCTCATGATGCCAGTGATCAATGGTTATTTAAATGCATTATGAATTTCGTTATTGCTTCTCACTCCCCATACACCGCTATTTGTATCTTTGATGGGTCCAAAGTTTCGTCGTAAGTCTCTATTTTCGAAAACCTGTAATAAGGCTTCATCTCTTTTAGCTGTGCTCCAAATTTCAGAGGCATATAAAACGATTGGTCTTATCAACGTTTTGTATATTTTGATCTGGTTGTTGCGAGACGGGCCCTTTATTGACATTATTCCTTTACTAACATTATTGAATGACATTATTCCTGGAAATATTAAAGATTGTATTTATGTAAATGAAAGGTTTTCATGAGATAGCTGGCCCATGGAACATTTCGCTGTTACAATTTATGTATATGTTCGTAATTCCTATAAGGTGATAGTTTAACCTCTCGTTGAATGTAGACTGAATTACTGTATCGCAAATTATATTTGTCTAAAATGTGTGTCACTAACATACACAAGTTTGGAAATTTCGGAGTAATAATATCATACTGATGAAATAAAACAAAATGTATACATGTAACAGTGGCGTGGCAAGGGCGTGCAATGATGTGGGCCAAATTGGGTGTCGTCGATAGAGGGGGGCGGGGAAATGGCAAAAATGTGTGTTATTAACATACAAAATGTGCGTGTGTGTGTGTCATAAAATTTTCCGCACCGGGTAACACCTGAATTTGCTATACTACTGACATTTAATATGCTGTTTCTTTGCACTTTACAGAATGGCGCTGTCGTATAAACGACAAGAGTACAATACGAACATCAGCTACATGGGGAAAATCCGGCAACACTTACTTTGTCCAGATTTAGCTTTTTTGAAAGCGGTTCCAGTGTCGAGTGTCGCACACAAGAGTTTATACACTTCCTGCATCGACAGTTCTGCTGAA